GGCGGCTCGTCCATCGCTTCCGCTACGGGCGGCGGCGCCCCGAGCAACGACGACATCGAGGCCGTCATCCAAATGGCTATGGCCTCCTCCGCCAGCTCCAGCGCCTCCGCCGGACGGGACACGCGCACACAACTCTTCGTGGGCAACGTAAGTGCCCAATCCATCCTTTTCTGTCCATCTCAACCGTTGCCGCTCGCAGCTCCCCTACCGAGTGCGCTGGCAAGACCTGAAAGACCTCTTCCGGCGCGCCGGCACCGTCCTCCGCGCCGACGTCGCCCTGGGCCCGGACAACCGGAGTAGAGGACACGGCACCGTGCTCATGGCCACTGCGGAAGATGGCGAGCGCGCGCTGGGGATGTTTCAGGTGCGTCAAGCGCGGTTCCCCGACCCGGTCGGGACGCTCATGTGTGCCGTGGCGGATGGGTTGTTTTGGATTCGATTCGTTGGTTGTTCGGGCGTCGCAGGGATGGTGCTGGCAGGGGCGCGTACTGGAAGTGAGGAAGGACAGAGTGGGCGAGGAACTGCTAGGTGAGTGCCCTTGGCTTCATTTCGGTCGTTATGTGTTCCCGATCGCTTTCCTCATCTCCGCGCCGCCCTTGCTTCTGCACGCCTCGCATGCACACGGTTGGGGAGGCACAAGATGCTGACGTGCGAGATCAGCAGCAGGAATAGACAGCGTACAGCCGAGCCCGATGGCGCTATCTGCAGTGCCGTCGCCGGGATCGCTGAGTCGCTTCGGCTCTGGCGTTGGTGCGTGCTTGCGTTCGATATGTTATCGGATGGGTCGTGCTGATCCAGAACAGAGGCCGACGACGTGCTCGCGGGCGTGCAGGCATTCGCGGCAACAAATCCATCAGGCACGTCATCAACGTCGGGAACGGGGGTGGGCACGCCGGCGGTCAGCCGGAATTTGTTTGTGGGGAATGTGAGTGGTCGTGTTCGGACTCGCTGTTTAGTTGCTCGGGTGTGAAGAGGCGCGTGCGGGGATTTTGGGCGGGGTTGCGTCGGGGCCACGTTGCTGCGATCGAAATCGTCCCTCTCGGCACCTGCCCACTCCCACAGTTGCACCCATGCCGAGGTCCCGCGCGTGCTCAAGTGATGACCGTGCAGAATGTTGGAAATAGGGCGGTGCAGAGAGCAGAGGGGCATCGCACAGCGCTTTGCCGCAGAGTCTACAGTGGTCTAAGCAGCTCACAACGCCAGGTAAGCCGGCTTTCGTTCTTGCTCTAATGATCTGTATTTCATTCATTTCCAGCTTCTATACACATGCTCTCGCCGTCTTCCCTCTCGTTATCAACCCCGCGCTGCGATTCCTCTGCCCTCTGAGCCGCCACTGAACCCATGTCCATCCATCTCTTCGAGTTGAGTCTTGCTGTCCGCTCGCCACGCCCATTCCAGTCCGCTCGCCACGCCCATTCCAACCCACTCGTCTCGTTCGTCCCCCGGTTTCCATGTCGCAAGTCATCATGCCCATTCCATCCCGCTCGTCTTGTTCGTCCCCCGGTTTCCATGTCGCAAGTCATCGTTCGCGAACGCGCCAACGGTCGCGTTCACTGTTCTTCATCACCCTTCCGCCGGCGCTCAGCTGTCAAG